CCCCCCCCCCCCAGGGATGGCAGTTATTAGTTCAATTCATGTTGTTTGTTTCTCTGGTTTCTTAACTGGGAGTAGGCCAGAATCCCTTTTTATTTCAGGCCACAATTCAGAGTTTGGATAGGTTCAAAGTTCAGTACTTTATTAGAATATTTTTGTAAAAATGGCCTAGTGCTTCTCTGTGTGATTTGCCTGTTTCGTTTCCCTACCCCGTTGGAAGGAAGTTTAGCTGCTCTAATATTTTAAATAAGCAAAGTAATTTATTCTCAAAATGCCGTGAGGCTGCCACCAAACAGAATTGGTGACGATAACTCTGGCCTTCACACGAAAACATTTAAATCTTAACTTGATAAGTAGACCTTGGAGGACATGGTCTAAACATGAAGAAAATTATAGAAGTCCTCCAAGGCCCCAGAGTGTAAATCTTGATTTCCTACTGCAGTTATGAAATAGTTCCAAAACTATTGCCCAACTACAGCGTGTTCTGTCCTGTGTTATGGTAAACAGATGCGTCAATATTGTTCAGAAGTGAGTATGATTCCTTGACAGTATGTGAACTTTAGAACCTTGGCATAAAGCTGAATATCAAGAAAGAATTTGTTTCAGGGTGGAAAGTGCCACTCAAATAGGCAGACTGATGAAAGTTACAAAGAAATTGGTAAAAGGGATTATTTGCACCTTTTTCTATAAACAGCTAATCCACAAAAACTGAGGAACCAGTTCCTGTCAGTGAATCCCTCAAGTGGAGAGCTAGGAAGGGACAGTTTAAGTAGGGAGGTACACTCAACTCTTAAATATTTGAAGGTGGCTTTTCTGTTACCCTGGTTGTAATCACCAGCTGGTGGGGGAAATAAAAAATTAAGATGTAAGTTGATTTTGTTGTTATTAGGGCTTGGGAGATGAAAATTGACATTGCCTCAATTTCTACCCTTTTTGAGATGGGCTGTAACAAAATTTAAGTGAAGAGTGTGTCAGATTGACACAGCTCAGGATGTGAGGAGTACCTCACTAATTGAACAATTAGGCTAACTCCAAATTTCTTTCTTATTCCTTAGGTCACCTTTTGGGCATTTACTTCCTTCCCAAGCCAAATTAGCATATGCAAAACTGGGCTCCAAGTACTGTGAACCCTGTATTAATAGAGCCTTAAACAGCTCCTGTGTTTCAAGTTTGTTCCATTGGCTCCATTGTAACCTAACACAGTATCTATTTTAAGATGACTGGTGGTCGGTTGTCTTTTCAGTTGTTTGTCCATCAGGCAGGAACAGGATCCACCCTAGACACTTGAGTCATTTCCGTTCACCAAATCATAATAGTAAGCATCATTATAGTTCTTACCTACAAAAATATCACTTACTTGAGGCCCCCTCTCCCACCCTTTTATCTCCCAGGTTCTCCCCTATTACTCATCTTCCCTTTCTCCCTCTCGCAGTTCTATTGGTCTCTTTACCTCACTCCACTTATTTACCTTCTTAAAGGGGTTTATGTTTTTTTTTTTAATGTTCCTGGCTGTTCTTTCCTGTCAAGATTTCCACCACTAATCTCCAAACTTTTTTGGTTATGTATTCCTCTGAGTAAAATGTTTTGGAACATACATCTTTGTGATATATAAAAAGTTACAAACATTATGAACGAATGTGATATGCATTTTATATATATATGCACGTATATGTATATAACTGGAAACATCAATTATGTAATATACATGAAGTAATACCTTATGTACATTATGAACAGCCATAGGATAGAATTTAAGGAAGGATGAATTAAAATAAATGGAAATGAAAATTCTAGTGTTTTTCTGTTCCTTCATGTTTAAAGAGTTGCTTTGCATGCCTGCCCCACATGGAGGATCACTGGTTTAGAATTCAGTCTTCCACATCAGCATCAGTTGTGCATAAGTATGCACTTGGAAAAGGTGTTAATTTTTAACAGCTCTCGTCTGATTATAGTAGTTGTAATATGACGATAACAAATTTAGACTAGAAACTTTCTCTGCTTGTACATGTGATTAAAGCTGGGCATGTTCCATCTCTTAATACAAGTGTGGGCTTGGAAGCCAGTCATGGCTCTGTTTGATACTTTGATTCAGACTTGGCCAGGCAAACTTCAAAGAATTATCAGAACTTAGCTTCACTTTAAATTAATGTCTTTGTATTTTTGAAACATCATTATAATTTATCCCTGTAGGTGGCATGTGGTAAAGATGTGTGCAGAATGTGTAAGGACTCTCAAATGAAAGGCATATTTAAATACCAAATAATAGCAGTGACTGTATGATCCTGGAAAAGCAGCTCTGTACACAGCATGATTTGTGGTTTGTAAAACACTATTTTAAATTAGTAGAAACTGAAATTTTCTATTGTAGCTGGTTTTGACGTGTTTATTTTAGCAGGTAATTTTCATGTATTTTTTTTCCTGATAAATACTGCATATTCATTATAGAGAATTTGTAACTTGCAGGAAAAGATAAGGACAGTAAGTTACTACCTCATAACCCTCAAATAACTACTGTTTACTTTTTTTTAAGATTTTATTTATTTTTTTGAGAGAGAGAGATGGCGAGAGAGAGAGAGAGAGAGAGAGCACGAGCAGAGGGGAGAGGGAGAAGCAGGCTCTCCACTGAGCAGAGAGCCTGACGTGGGACTGGATCCCAGGATCCTGGGATCATGACCTGAGCCGAAGGCAGGTGCTTTACCAGCTGAGCCACCCAGGCGCCCCTGCAGTTTACCTTTTAGCGTATTTTTTTTCTAAGCTTACTTCCTTTGATATATGTATCTTTTTTTTTTTAAGGTTTTATTTATTTGACACAGAGAGACAGCGAGAGAGGGAACACAAGCAGGGGCAGAGGGAGAGGGAGAAGCAGGCTTCCCATGGAGCAGGGAGCCTGATGCGGGACTCGATCCCGGGACTCTAGGATCATGACCTGAGCCGAAGGCGGACGCTTAACAACTGAGCCACCCATGCGCCCCTATATATGTATCTTTTTTTTTCTTTTAAATATTTTATTTATTTATTTGACAGAGAGAGACACAGTGAGAGAGGGAACACAAGCAAGGGGAGTGGGAGAGGGAGAAGCAGGCTTCCCGCTGAGCAGGGAGCCCGATGCGGGGCTCAATCCCAGGACTCTGGGATCATGGCCTGAGCCGAAGGCAGATGCTTAATGACTGAGCCACCCAGGCGCCCCTATATGTATCTTTTAAACACGATGCCCTGAACTATACTAACAGTTTCAACTTTCTTTGTTGCGTCAACACTACATTGTCAGCATTTCCCATCGCATTTCAAATTCTTCAAATTTATCATTTTAATGGCCATATCATATACCGTCCTATGGATATACTACAATTTATTTAACAATTTCCCTGTTGCTGGGCCTTTGAATTGGGGAAAATTGGAAGCAGTTATGAGTAACATTTCCATGGATATCTGTATACTTAAGGCCTTGTCCCCATTTCTGATTATTTTCTCAGGATATATTGTTAGATATGGAATTGCCAGGTCTTTTGAAAGGCTTTTAGTAACTGTTGCCAAATGGTTTTCCAGAAAGTTGGAAAAGTCAAGCTGTTGCATGAGATAGTGTATGTAGATCCCTTGGCATATAGTAGGCTTTCAATTAACGGTAGATACTATTATGTAGCTATTCACATGTGAGTCCAAAGATTTTGTGGCCAGTGTCTGGTCCTTACTGCTAGAAATGTATTGTTACAATTTCTGTTGATTGAAGGCTCTCATTCAGAGACTGGAAAACATTTGACATCATGCTTAAAGATCCCGGAGTTGTGTTTTTTTTTTTTTTTTGGCTTATGAAAATTTATTATTGTCATGTTTTCACCATCAAAACTTATGATCTTGGTCTTTCCTTCTTGCCTTTGTATAAGGCCAAAAGAGAGACATTGGCTACTTTGACAACCTTAAAGCGAACTCCAGGAATGTCACCGACAGCATGACCTTTGCGACCAAATCCAGCAACCAGAACCTCATCATTTTCCTCAATAAAATTCAAACAACCATCATTGGGTACAAAGGCTGTGATTTTTTTTGCCATTCTTGATCAGCTGGACCCTGACACACTTCCTGATGGCAGAATTTGACTGCTTGGCTTCAACTCCTACTTTTTCCAGCACAATTCCTTTTGCATGGGAAGCGCCTCCAAAAGGGTTGGCCTTCAGGGCTGTGCCCAAGTGGGCTTTCTTGTACTGTTTATCATGCCATTTCTGATCTCGTCGGTGGCTGCGGAGCTTCCTGGCAGTACGGAGACCGCGACACTTGCCCATCCTGCCGGCGCCACGGGCCTGAGCAAAAGACCCGGAGTTGTTTTAATTAGACTATTGTTGAATGTTGACTAAGAGGAGAATTCTGTCTGGAGGGCGCCTCCTCTGGAGTACGTCCTCACAGGTGGGCCAGTTCTGCACCTAAAGACTTGCAGCAGTATCAGTTTTCCTGTTGTGTGTTTCATAACTGGCAAAACTAGAATTTTTACCTTTGTGCCTTTGAGTTGGGTGTTCTAGTAGAAAGCATCACCAGTGCTATTACTGAAACTCATTTTGTTTTGACTGGTAGAAATTTGAAACCATTGGCCTAATATACTCCTATTAAGCTGGAAGCTCATTCAGATTTATTCTAGGACTAAAGCTATAAAATCATTGTCTTTCTTAGACTTTTAAACCTGTTTTAACAAAAAGAAATCAGTTCTTTGTGGCAGTTATAATTTTGGTTAAGCTTTTGTTTATCTCCTTTGTGTCCTTGACTAAAATGGAATATGCCCGCTGCTTTGTCAGTGTGAAAGATGTTTGCTCCTCACCCACATTCTCCAGTCTAGTATTTTTAGGAAATGGGGCAGATAGCAATATTCCACATTTCATATATGTGTTTGGTGGTAGTTATTACCTGGATCTTATTGTTACATGAGGCTGTCTTACTTTAAAAAAAAAATTATATTGTCTGCTGAGGAAAGACCGTGTTAACTAACACTGTGGAGTGACATACAGCGTCTACAAGGTGGGAGTCCAAAGAGGGAGAAGTTGCTAGTGTTCGGGTTAGGGGTTACAGTGAGCAGTGGATAGGGTTTGCATCCTCCCGGTTAGTATAGGCCCTTATTGGACGGCTTTATAGCTCTTGCTCAGGTCACCAGCTGATTCACCAGGCCACTTTGGACTTAAGTTTGGGGAAGTTGTATGTGGTCCTTAGGGAAGATTATGTATGGGCTCTGTAGTCAGGCAGACGTTCCAGTCATAGTTCTTGTCTTAACAGCTGTGTGGTCTCAGGTCACCGAACTCTCTGTATCTGCTTCCCTGTCCATAAAATGGGACAAATAAGGCCCACCTCATAAAATAATTGACAATTCAATGTGAGGCTGTCAGTAAGGACCGTGAGAACCCATTCTGATAGAAGCGCATGCAATGGTAGTGTTTTATTGTGGCCCTTCAGGCTGAGGAGATTTCAGTGATCTGGTGGACAGGAGCATTTTGATGCTCCTGAGTTTGATTTCCTATTGTAGATAAATGTTCTTTTATAAGTACAGTTAGAATGTGTCAACTGACTGTATCTCTAAATATACAGATAGTTGAGTTTCTGAACCTGGAAAATTAAGGAGTGGGCCATGGACCACTTGGTCCCTTCATTGTGGTGGCTTCACAGTGTCGCCGCCAGCTTGTAAGAGCTGCCTGCGTGGCGTTTCTCTTGGCATACCTCTTCTTGCTGTACACCTCAACCCAGGACGCTTGTCACTTCAGATTTCCAGTAGTTTTCCCAACAATCCCACAAGTTACGATACGACTCTGAGGTTGTTACTGCAAACAGTCTGTGTTGATTCTGTTGTACCTTACTGTGTGATATGTGCTTAAATAAGGGAGAAGAAGAGAGTGTGAATGGATTGATGGAATGATAGTTGCAGTCTGTCGTAGCATGTTTGAACTCTAGGTTGAGGGTAAGAACTAACATTACATTTCCTTTTTTTCTTTTTTTTAAGATTTTATTTATTTATTTGACAGAGAGAGCTAGAGAGGGAACACAAGCAGGGGGAGTGGGAGAGGGAGAAGCAAGCTCCTGGTGAGCAAGGAGCCCGATGCGCAGGGCTCGATCCCAGGACTCTGGGATCATGACCTGAGCTGAAGGCAGACACTTAACGACTGAGGCAGCCAGGTGCCCCCAACATTACATTTTCTAGTCACGTAGAGAACTTACAAAGTATCGTCAGCCCTACAAACTCTGAAATCAGTTTTTTTGTGCATCCCCAGAAGTATTCGGTTTTGGAAATTCGGTTTCCTGTTCTGTTCGTCACATCAGTGCAAATTCTGTGAGCAGATGTGACAGATCATTTTTCCCAGTATAAATCCTGTATTTTTCAGGTTCTGTGTCAGGCAGTCTTACTATGAAAGCTTTGAGGGCACATGAGGAAACGCTGTAAAATGGTAGTGGAGTAGAAAGACCTGGAAGGGACAGCTGTAGTGATTCTCAAGTCCCAACTGCTTGATTGACAAATGGGGAATGTGAAGCCTGGACCAACTGAGTGACACGGCCACCGTCAGAGCCAGGACAGGACTCAGGCTCCTCAGTTTGCATGTGGCCTGGTGCAAAGCAAATGATTAGCGAGAAAAACCTTTCAAAGCCTGAGCTTATTCTGAATGCCCCTCTGGAGTATGTGATAGCGCAGGGTAGGTTTTATGTTCCTTCATGGTAAAATTACCCTACGCCCTTTGTGCCTTGGCTTTCTGCAGCGCGGTGTTTCATCTGCTTTTCTGCTGTCAGGTTTTCTTCAGTGTTTGATTGCATCTCGTAAAAATAGTAGTAGTAGCAGTACCTCCGTGATGCTTTTTGCCGTCTGTGTTTAGTTGTTCTTTTCTGAATTTCTTCCCCTTTCGTTTTCCACTCATAAGTGCGACCAAACTTTGGGAATAGTAGGAGAGAAGGAAGGATGCAGAACGGGTGGTATTTGGAAAACTTGTAGACTTGCCAGTGTGCAGGGTCATTTAAAGGTGGACACACAGGGATGTCATGTCCAGCTTGGTGACTGTAATTAACAGTGCTGTATCACGCACTTGAAAGCTGCTAGGAGAGTAAATGTTAGAAGTTCTCATCTCACACACACACACACACACACGGCATTTGAGATGGTGAACAAAACAAAATCCTGTCCTCAAGTAGCTTACATTTTAGTGGGGCAGAAAGACAATAAAGAAAGAGGTTTATAATATGAGAGATGAGGGTACATTTTTAATAGAGTGATGAGTGAAGGGCTCTGAAAAGGTAATGTTTGATCAGAGACCTTAAAAGAAATGACTGGGGAGCACCTGGCTGTCTCAGTTGGCAGAGCGTGCGACTCTTGATCTCAGGGTCATGAGTTCGAGCCCCACATTGGGCATAGAGCCTACTTAAAAAAGAGATGACTGGGAAAAGAACATTCCTTAGGTAGAGAGAAGAGCAAGTGAAACAGTCCCAAGGGGGAAATTGATCGTGTTATTTGGGGAACAGCAATTACAGTATGAGATGAAGTCAGAGGGAGAGCCAGGGGCCAAATGGTTTGGGCCTAGTAGGTAACAGGAAGGACTTGGGCTTTTATTCCAGATGTGATAGGAAACCATTGGGGGGTTTTGAGCAGGGACTGACATCGAATGAGAAGGGATGCTGTACATAGTCTTCCTGCTTTGTGCCATGTTACTTCTCAGTACTTTCTACTGTGCAATCTTTTCTGGTTGTAGATTGTCTATGCTGAAAGACCACTCACAGACAACCACAGATCGCTGGCTTCCTACGGCTTGAAAGATGGGGACGTTGTGATTTTACGACAGAAGGAGAACGCCGACCCTCGACCTCCAGTGCAGTTCCCAAGTAAGACATCCTGACACCAGCATCAGGAGAGAGGGCATAACACGGTGGGCCAGAGCTGTGGACTAGCTTCGGGTTCAGAGTGCAGGGGACAGGCTCCGACTGCCCCTTGGTTGCTTTGTAACATTGGATGCATTAACTTCCCTACGTCCGGTTCATCACCAGCTGTGAGATAGGCTGTGAGAATAGTGCACGTGCAAGCTTTGGCACATGGCATGTCCTCAATAAATGTTTGCTTCTGTTGTTATCAATAATGACTTTATCCTTGGGAAGGACCTAGGAGGCCACCTCTGCCGTGATTCCTGACTGACTTTTGCTACTCCGTGTCCAGCCCTCGGCTAGCAGGCCTGTGTGGAGCAGTCAGCCAGGCACTCGTACCCACATCGCGTGGGTCTCATCACTGTTGTGGGGGAAGAGATTCCTTTTTATAATTTGTTACCACTAATAGATGAAGCTCTGATTCTAAGTAATGTCTTCAGTGTTACATAGCTAATAAGTGAAGGCATGGGAACAAAAATGTGGTATTTTTTCCATTATACTGAGCTTTAGGAGCATTAAGCAGCTGGACCACCAAATTCTGTTCCTTCCCCGCTGGCCGTGTTAAGCACATGAAAGGAAGCTGTTGTCGTTGTTGATGTTCCATCCAGATGAGGTGTTTATAATCTGGAATCTGTGCATTGGGATTTAGAACGTTTCTGTGTCCCTGAAATAATCATAGAATTGCGTGGCTGTGAGCATGTGTGCACTTAATGGGGAGAGGATCTGTAGCTTTCTTCAGATACTCAGAGGGGTTCATGATCTGTAGAAAGTTGACAAGGTTCTGAGGTGGAACTGTTTGATGAAATGTAATAGTGTTTTCCATTCCCTGCTATCTTCAGATAGATTTCTTTAAACAGTGTTTAGTCTTTAGGTTGGTTGGTTTTATAGTTTGTGGTAACAGCTGACGGGTGTCTGGGTGAGGATGGTACACTCCATCTTAGAACACAAACTTCCAGTCAGCCTGAGACTGGGGCTGTAAGAGACCATGCACTGTTCTTCCCAGATCGGAGTTACACGAGTCCCTCCAGGCTACTGTTAAACTTTAGAAAGAGTTGTGATTCGAACGTGCCAGTCAACAAAAACCAAATCTTCCTTTGGTTAATTTGGTGAAATTGTTAGTTCTGGAGATTCACCGTTTTTTTTTGTTTTGTTTTTTCTGTACTGTCCCATGTGGACAAGAGAGCCAGCAGGTGGGGGAGGGGAGGTGATCTCGTCTATCAGGTAAACCGGTTTCTCAGAATTACTCTGAAGCGAATGGACCCTCAAGATAAGTGTAACAGGGTTAGAGATAAAATTTCTTGACCCACAGAGAAGGCCTGCCCCTGTGTTTTGCTGGTTGGTATAGATGAACTCCCTCATACACGTACACGCCCACATACGCATTTACTAGCTGCTGGCTCAGGTCTGTTTGAAGAGAGTGTCTAGTTTGAACCCGTGCTAAGAGGCAGAAACTGACGCTGGAATTTAAGGATTCCCTTCTTCTATTGATGTCCCGTAAGCTTCAGGGTGGCCTCAGACTTGGGACAGGAGTGACCATCAGATACTTTTTTGGGATTGAGGAGATGCAGATTCACTCAGTTCTAGCCCCCCATTCTCGCTCTGCTCTACTTTTTCTTTGCTAAGGTAAAACTCCTTTTTAAGTAACAGCTTTATTGAGATATCGTTCGTATACCATATAATTCACTCATTAAAAGATACAGTTCATTGATTTTTAGTATATTCCAAGTTGTGCAGCCATCACTACAATCAATTGTAGCACATTTTCATCACCTTAAAAATAAACTGTACCTGTTAGCGGTCATTCCCCATCTGCCTCCAAGCCTCCTGGCCCTGGGCAGCCATCGGTCTACTTTCTGTCTCGGTGTATTTTCCTATTCTGGACATTTCATATACGTGGAATCATATAATATGTGGGTCCTTTGTGTAAGGCTTCCTTTTATTTTCCTTTCATTTTAATAAGGTCAGCTCAGCCTGGATTATAGAACCTGGGTGTTGTAGCCTCTAAATCTGTTCTATCTTTTGGTGACCTCAGCACTGAGAACCTGAGCATGTTCCTTTTCTTCTGTTTGTCTCTCCTGTAAAATGATTATACCTGCTAGCTCCCCGGGGGTGTAAGAGTTAGCAGTGATGCACAGAGTGAAAGTGTAAATTCCAAGAATGAATATGTTTAGCAGAGACTTGTAGAATTTTACATCTAAAATTGATGCAGTTCCCTTGGTTTGTATAGTATTCTTTACCCAAGGTGTGCAGGCTCGTTGAAACATGTCAAAGTGGACTGGGATTTTTCTCAAGAATTACATCCAGAATTATGTGATTATGTTTACTGAGACTAGCTTCAATTTTTTTTTTTTTTTTTTAAAGATTTTATTCATTTATTCATGAGAGAGACAGAGGGAGAGAGAAGCAGAGGGAGAAGCAGGCTCCCAAGGAGCAGGGAGCCCGATGCGGGACTCGATCCCAGGACCCCGGGATCATGACCTGAGCCGAAGGCAGACGCTTAACCATCTGAGCCACCCAGGCGCCCTAGCTTCAATGTTTTAAAAACACAAATAAGTAGGGGCACCTGGGTGGCTCAGTCGTTAAGCGTCTGCCCTCGGCTCAGGTCATGATCCCAGGGTCCTGGGATCGAGCCCCTCATCGGGTTCCCTGCTCAGCGAGGAGCCTGCTTCTCCCTCTCCCGCTCCCCCTGCTTGTGTTCCCTCTCTCTCTGTCTCTCTCTCTCTGTCAAGTAAATAAAATCTTAAAAAAAACCACACACACAAATAAGTAAAAACTTGTCATCTCTTCTGGGATACTGTATAAGCCAAAAGTCTAGGGTTACTTCCATTGTCAGCACCCCTTTTCTGTTCTTGCCTGTGGGTTCTCTCTCGGACTGCTGTCTTTATATTTAGTTAGTTGAGAGAGAGAGCAGGGGAAGGGTCAGATGTCTGCAGTTACCATTTACTACATGCCATGTACCAGCATATGTTCCGCTGTTCCCTTCAAATGTTTGTTTTTATGGAGTCACTGGAAGTAAACTTTGAACCGATTTTCCCCAACAGACTTACCCCGAATAGACTTCCGTAGTATAGCCGTGCCTGGCACGTCAGGCTCCCGGCAGCGCCAGCCACCAGGGGCACAGCAGTCCCACTCATCTCCTGGAGACATAGCTTCATCTCCTCAGGGCTTGGACAATCCAGCCTTGCTCCGAGACATGTTGCTGGCCAACCCCCATGAGCTGTCCTTGCTGAAGGAACGCAATCCACCCCTGGCAGATGCTCTGCTCAGTGGAGACCTTGGTAAGCTTATAAATATGGAAGACTGTCAAGCTGACCTGAGGGGAAGTAGTTCTGTCGCAGCATGTGTGGAGAAACTCAAGCAACTGGTGTGTTCAGCCCACCGCGTCACGGGGTTTCTTGAACCTACCAGTTGCTCTCTAGGTAAAGTAGTGCTAGTATCAAAGGCTGAGTCGATTGGCAGTAGTGAGAGAATTTTACAACTGCATAGAGTTCTGAAATCCAGCTTGACCAGTCCCCTCCATTGACTTTTTTTTTTTTCAAATTATTTTCACAGCGCATAACCTAGGAACTGATATTTTAACCTGTTTGGTTAGACTCTCAGTTTGAGAGCGCACTAGTAAGCCAGCTTGCTGCCAGGTGAAATGCTTTTAGTTATAGAAAACATGTCCAGTGCCATCAGCCTGCATGGTAAAATGGAACCAACCCCTTTATTTTCACCCACCCCAAGTTTTAAGGAGAGTGGGGTTGTTGCTAACAGTTTGCTTGGAGCTGTATTTGGGCCATTCTTATATTAAACAGAACGCATATTTTTAGTCAGCTTCATGAATAAAGTTTTTCTCTGTAAATTTCTCTAGTTTTACTCTTGGGCTTATGAAGTGGTACTGATTAAATTTTAAAACGTAACAGATACTTAATAGCTCATTTCTCAGTTGACCATTTTTTAGATCGAGGTAATAATTACCTAACAGAAATGCACAGATTTTAAGTATACAGTTCATTGAGTTTTGGCAAACTCATGTAGCCACTACCCTAGTCAAGATACAGAACATTTTTCTCACTCCAGAAGTTCCAGTATATTCTCTGCAACAAGTCAGTTATGGGCTACTGCCATTCTGATAATCATGGTTTTGATCTTCACATAAATGGAATCATATACTATGTCCTCTCTCATGTCAGGCTTCTTTTGCTCAACTTAATGTGTTTTAGATTCATTCATGGTGTGTGTATTAATAGTTCCTATGACCGTTATTTTGGTGTCTTTAATTTCTTATGTAGCAGATCTAGTCACCAAAGACCACAATGATGGCATGTTTAAGTTTATACACTTATATGCACCCCCATTTAAGAAATAGCAAAATTAAGGTGATTCTTCTAACATACATTTTAAAGCAAGCAATATTTTCTCTTTACTCATTTTCCTATTATTCATCAGGTTAGATAGGTAGGCTAACAGTAGTTTGCATTTAACTTACCTGGCTTAAGGCAGAGGGTGTTACAAAGGGAATGGAACTAGAAGAGGAGAAACAGGGTTGTAGTGCACTGTTTTTTTGTTTGATTTTTGTTTTTTAATTGAACTATAGTTGACACACAATGTTACCCTAGTTTCATGTGTACAACATAGTGATTCATCAAGTCTGTGCCTTATGCTGTGCTCACCACAGGCACACCATTTGTCACCACACAAACGCTATTACAGTACCATTGACTGCGTTCCCTGTTGTCGTGCTCTGTTTTATTTCTAGGTAATAGGTTCATAAGAGCAGCTGGGGAGGAGAGTGCAGCCATTTACCTGCCACACAGATAGTCATTCCCGCTGATTTCAGTCGAACTATTGTTGTCTCCGGGTAGAAACAATACGATGGATAACTTCTTACAGGAAGAAATGATTTTTGCAAAGACTTGATTTCTTTATACTGAATTTGGGTGACGTAGTCTTGCTTCAGCAAATAGCAAGTAAATGTAATTGCTCACTTAAAATAATTCTTAGGGTTCCTTTCTGCATCTCTTTACAGTTGTATCTTGAGAAACTATTTGATCTGGAGAAATACTAATAAAGAATGGAAATAGAGTGGTACTGAAGACTTTCCCCCTTATTTTTGTAGAGAAATTTTCTAGGGTCCTGGTGGAGCAGCAGCAGGACCGAGCCCGGAGAGAGCAAGAAAGGATTCGTCTCTTTTCTGCTGACCCTTTTGATCTTGAAGCTCAGGCAAAAATAGAAGAAGATATAAGGTAATGACCCTTTACCTAAAGAGCGAGCTTTAGAGAATCCAGAGTTCCCGAATGACAGGTGACCCGGTATCAGTTGGGCATCTGCTCTGAAGCAGCGTCCTTGTTTTTTGTGTTTGAGAGAGCAGCATCAGCCTTTTAGGTCATTCTCTCCTCACACGTTGATTCAACATTACAAACCTAACTTAATGGCTTTCTCTTCCAAAACTTGAATATGAAAACTCCGGGACCAGCCCACAGTGCATCATCAAAGCAGCTGCAGGTAGAAGACCCCGGGGCTGAGCAGAAGCCCCAGCTGGGTGAGACTGTTAGGCTGACTGACTGGAATCTCAGTCCTTAGACATAACGCGGGAGCCCTGGTTAAACCCAGGCTTGAGCGTGATTGGATTAGAGAGAGCTCTGGACAGATGGAACCCTGTAGTCCTGGGTCTGTTTTCCTCCTTCAGTTCTTGCCTGGCCTCAGTGGATAAACTGACTGCCGGACACTTTTCCAGCTCTCACATCTCTAATGCTGTTGTTCTCACCAGGGGCTACGTTAAAATCACAAAAGAAGCTTTAAAAATGTAGATGCTTGTGCTTCACTCCCAAATCTGGTGGATCAGAATCTTAAGAGGTGGGGCCAGAGCAGGTACAGTGATGCTAATGCCAACCTTGGCCACATTTCTAGTCATGAGCAAGATGCTCTTCAGTCCCTTAGAGTGAAAGAACAGCTGCCCCCCCCACCCCCATTCAGTTTTTGTTGCAAACGGTTAAGGCCTTAGTTCTTCCCCCACCTTATGCAGGGTCTCGGTTTTCTGCGGTTAACTGTAGTCCAGAAGCAGATAGATCAGAAGATCAGTAGTAGCCTAATACTACGTCACAAAACTTCTGTCATTCACCTCACTTCATCTTATTACGTAGGCATTTTATCATCTAATATCATCATGAGAAGGGTGAGTACAGTACAATCAGATATTTTGAGAGAGACCACATTCACATAATGTTTATTACAGAATATTATAATTATTTTATTATTGCTGCTTCTATCTCACTATGCTTCACTGATAAACGAAGGTTTATCATAGGTATGTATACACAGGAAAAAACATAGTATGTATAGAATTTGGTACTCTTTGTGGTTTCGGGCGTCCCCTAGGGGTCATGGAATGTATCCCTTGCAGAGAAAGGGGGGACTGCTGTATAACTAAGAATTATGTTCTTCGTTGTCATAATCTTTTGTTACTCGAATGAAGCCCCACTTGGTCGTTATATTAAACTGTCAGCTTGGAAGTCAAATAATGGTTATTTTATTTCTTGTTTCTGTAACTACATTTGAAATTAGGGAAATTTAAATTGTATGTCAGAATCAGTTGTCAGCCCCAAGCCATTCGTGTTCTCGTTGATGAAGCGCCCCCATTAATTGCATCAGTATATTAGTATATGAATATCTTTGAAAAAACATCTCGCTAGTTAAATCTACCCAGAGAAACAGGAAGAAATTTGTGTTCTCTGAACTAGACCCCATTGCAGCTCTTAGGGAACCTGACTGACATAATTCTCAAGAATAGACAACCCAGGAAGTAGGAGTGGTGGGAGGGAGAGTGGAGAGGCATCGTGGCCAAACCCTGACCTGCCCTGTGGGCAGGGCAGCAGTGAGATGAGGCACATTCGTGTGGCTCATGGGGGGCCAGGGGAGATTAAGGAAATGGGGTAATGTGTACACGCTTTTAAAGAAGACCTTGTGCCTCTCAAGAGACTCTTACATATAGGGTCCAGAAGAGCCAAAGTGACTGGTATTATCTCAGAATCTGATTTTGCTGAAATTTATCTTGGTTGGAGTCAATGCAAGGTCAGGAGTGTACAACTAATTTTAGTTCCTTTCTAAATTTATGAATGTGGCATAAGAGAAAAGCTGTGTAATTCCGTCAAATGCCTCCAAAAATTTTATTTGGTACGCTGCATCAGTGACTACTCAGGGTATATGTACACTGGGGTATAATAGCTTGCATATTTCCCTGACTAAATTAAGCAAGTGTGCCTTTGATTTCCTGAAAAGTTTCATATATTACAGAATGGCTGATGAAATCATCAGATCAGTTGAGGTAGAGTATTATTACAAAAAGGACAGGCACTACAAGTTAGAGCAGGGGTCAGCCAGAGAGTAAATATTTTAGGGTTTACAGGCCCTGCTCTCTCTGTCACGAGGCTCGTTTAAGCCAGTGCCGGTACCAGAGCGGCCATACGTAATGCGACAGCACAGAAGTGAGCATGCAGCTGCACTCCCGTAGAAGTTTCTTTGCACAAACGGGTGGTGGTCTGTGGTTGTAGTTTATCCCCAATCTGGGGCCCCGTTCTGTTCGTGTCTCAATCTTCAGGTACGTTGCCCAGCCCCTGCCCTCATTCCCATTAATGTTGGTAGTGTTTGATAACTTTGCACAGTGGCAGTATCGTAGCCAATGAGGTTTATCCGAGGCACATGTTTTTAAAAGGTTGGGAATGAAGGCATGAGATGTTGGAGTAAGCTGGAACCCCCTTTTACATCCTTTTCTCATGTGGGAACTAGAATATGTGTGACGTTTGAAGGAACGATTTGACGGCCCACGTGAGCCGTGATAAGTGTGTGTGTGGTTTTCTAAGTGAGAGCGGTAACTAGAGAGACGCATGCATTTGCTGAGCATCTGCTTTTGTATCACTGTGTTCTAGATGCTCTCCGCCTCGTAGCCACACTACAACAGGAGTCATTACCCTCACTCACAGGTAGAAAACCCAGTCTCGGGAGTTAAGCAGAGACACAGCACAGACCGTTAACACCCATGTATTATATTTGCCAACTCTTTCTAAGGCACTGGACATAGGAAGTGTACCCAGATCCCCAGTAAATCACCCGTTAAAATTTAAGCATTCGTGAAATTCTCACATTCTATAGAATTAAAAGGTTGTGACCCTTACTCTCCAGAGGTTTATCTTCCTGTATCTGAGCTCATAAAGGGACAGGAACTGTTTTGCGTGAGAAAGCCATGTGTATGCCTTTTGATTTTCTGCCGGCTGCATCCCCACCTCACCTGTTGCAGGAAAGAGCATCGGTTTTCATTTCCATGACTCAACTGCTATAACAGGGGCAAAAGAGGTGTACAGTTCTGTTGGGGTTTTTTTCCCCTAGTCAGGGAAAGGGAAACCACGGACACTCTAAGGCCTTGGGGGCTCGGGCAGGAGGCTGCCCTGCAGGCAAAGGAAGAGCCGGTGGAGGGGCCTTATTTGGCGCGCTGGGGGTTGGTGTGGCCGTGCTTCTTCCCAAGGCAGTTGACAGTGCAGGGGTGCAGGCAAGCAAAGCACTGGTGGCAGATGATCTTGTCACAGTTTTATTTCTGGGCCAGTTGGCTGAGGGAAGGCTCCATGGTGCCACCCCGCAGGCAAAGCACCAAGTGCAGGGTGGGCTCTCACGGGATATTGTAGTCTGAGAGAGTGCGGCCATCCTTCAGCGGTTTGCCCACAAAAATCAGACACTGCTGGTCAGGTGGGATGCTCTCCTTGTTTTGGATTTTGGCTTTGACATTCTCACTGGTGTCACTGGGCTCAACCTCGAGGTTGATGGTCTTGCCTGCCGGGGTCTTCGCGAAGATCGGCGTCTCTGTGTCTGCCACTGTTGAAGAGAAAGCCAAGTCTGTTTTTAATATTGTGACTTTGAAACAGATTTCCCTTCCTGGAAATAATGATTTTTACTATACTTGGTTTTGGTTTGTTACAGGCAACAGAACATTGAGGAAAACATGACAATAGCTATGGAAGAGGCTCCTGAAAGTTTTGGTCAAGTGGTGATGCTTTATATTAACTGCAAAGTGAATGGACATCCTGTGAAAGCCTTTGTTGACTCAGGTGACGTCTCCAGCTCAGTCTCTCCATCTCTCCGACATTCTGACCTGACACAGGGAGAAGGGGAGCCTGGTGCCTGTTAAAGCTGGCAGGAGTCTACTGGACTGCTAACAAGCCTGGGGGTTACTTCACTTGCCAATCTTGTTGTTTGTTTGTTTGTAACAGGTTTATTTCTTAATCGTTTCTTAACTGGTTTTGTATTGTGCAGTATGTCCTTTATCTTCCTACCTTCCTTTATTTGGCATCCTGAATTTTTAGGATACCTCTGTAAGAAATTTGGGAATAAATGGTTTAGGAGAAGGAGCCGTAAGAAGCAACTGTATAGAGTGTAGGTCAAATATCTCAGCGTGGTCTGTGTGGCATCACTTTGCCAGGAGCTATGAGGAGTTGAAGCATGTATTGAATCAGGGCTCTTGCCCTTAAAGAACTTAGCAGCCAGGTCAGGAGACAGGGAGTTTCCCTCTTGAGGATTTAAATAATCCCTGTACCAGCGGCACCTTTCCTCGCGGTAGTAACTCTGCTTTGTAGGAAGACCACACACAACACCGTGTGGGTGCGGCTCAGTGGTCTTACATGTCTTAATTCTGTGTAGCTCACCCAGACTCTTAAGATAGGATGAGTCCTAGAGTAGTAAAAGGCCCTGTTCAAGGAACATTTTCCTCCATTTGTTCATCCACAATTATTTGAGCACATGCTAGGTTTCACCTGCCATTAGGTGTTTGTATCTTGAGATGCATACATTCCTGGGAGAAGCACATTCGCTGATTATTCAGTTTAAAAAAATGTCTGTTGAGGGGCGCCTGGGTGGCCCAGTCGTTAAGCGTCTGCCTTTGGCTCAGGTCATGATCCCAGGGTCCTGGGATCGAGCCCCGCATCAGGCTCCCTGCTCGGCGGGAAGCCTGCTTCTCCCTCTCCCACTCCCCCTGCTTGTGTTCCCTCTCTCGCTGTGTCTCTCTCTGTCAGATAAATAAATAAAATCTTAAAAAAAAAAAAAAAGTCCATTGAATGCTGTAGGCAGGGCACTTGTGCTGAGTGTTTGGGAGTAAAACTCACTAACTGGAGCTTCATGGGGCTCCTATGAGTGAGAGACAAATACATACATAAGAGGCCCTAATAGTAACACTCAACATTTACTGAGCCCTTACTTTGTGCCAAGCACTATGCTAGGTGCTTAATATAAATCATCTTAATCTCACTTAATCCTCGGGTTACCCCTATGAACCGTGTTCAACTAGTAACCCTATTTTGTAGATGAGAAAACAGAGAGGTGATGTCACTCCAGGGAGACCGAGGTCACGAGTAGTGGACTTTGGATTCAGCTCCAGATCTGTTTGATGCCACAACTCAGTGACCACAAAAATCAGATGCATGTTGGATAGCCATCGACACCACATTCTCCCTCTGACTGGCGTGCTCAGGCATGGCTTCCCCACAGAGCGGGCATCTGAACTGCCCTGCCTCCACGGGCAAAGGAAGGGGCTTCTAGCCAAGGCTTGAGAAAAGGCAGGAGAATTGCAAAAGGTGCCCTTTCTTGCCTTGGGGGGCTCACTTACGTTACAACAATAAGTAGCTTTTGTGGAGTAGTGTGGGGAGAGAGGAAGAGAAGAGATTGCTTTCTCCAATTTTCTTCTCCTTCATTTTTCCTGGGCCCTCTTGAATCTAAGCTTCCTCAAATGCCAAGAGCTTTCAGTGCCCACAAAGCGTAAGGTGCCTAATGAGTAAAACGAACAGGAAGTGTTGGAATTGAATGAGAGGGGAGATCACTGGGCAAGGTGGACCAGCTGGGGAGGAGGCGGGGTTTGAGCTGGGCCCTACCGCCTGAGTGGAGTTCAGAGAAAGTGAAGGCGGGGGAGGGGGGCACTCTGCAGGAGGGTCAGCGGGAGTGAGAGGCAGAGGGAGCAGCTTGGTCCTGTGCAAGTGGAGGGTTTAGAACAGTCAGAGCATGGGGCTGACAGCTGCATCTGTTGGGCCTGCTATAAAAGAATACCACTGACTGGGGGGTTATGAACAGCCCAGGTTTATTTCTCATAGTTCTGGAGGCTGGGAACCCAGAACGAAGGTGCAGGCAAGTGCGGTGTCTGCTGAGGACCCACTTCCCCCATCCCAGACAATCATCTTCTCAGTGTCCTCACATGGCAGAAAGGGTGAGCGAGCTGTCTGGGGGCTCTTGTGTAAGGATGCTCGTCCCGTCCCCGAGGATTTCATCTCCATGACTACTCCCCTCCTGAAGGCCCCACCTCCTAATGCAGTCACGTTAGGAATGTGATAGTTTCAACAAAGGAGGTTTGGAGGGACACAGACATCCGGTCTGGAGCAACGGGAAGCAGTCTGGCCAGGATGAGGTAGACTCTGGAACTGTGGCAGGTGGTTTGAAGCTAATCTTAGAGGAGGAGCCATTGAGGATTTTTGAGCAGATGAATAAGTGATCTGAAGGTCATATTTGAGGAAGACTGACGACAGTGACAGATCTGGAAAATTATGTATCCCTCAGGGTCAGAACTATTCCCTTGCTTTAAATTATACCTCCACAGAGTGGTTTGGAAACCAGAGAAATTGTCCACCAGCGAGGGGAATAGGGTGTGAGCTGGGCTGATTGCTATGGTCAGAAGAAGGAAGGTCAGAAATAGAAATTGCATAAAACTTACTCAGAGGGTTGGAGCCGAGTTTGAGAGTAGGGAGAAGGCTAAAAGACGAGGAGTCACAAGTATGAAGTTCTGTGTTGCAAGAAAGTAACTTCATTGGTAAGGAGAGAAATCCAAAGTGAGAATCACTTGGGAGAGAAAGGGTTTAATACCTGTTGGCTTGGAGATGGAAATGTCGAGCACACGGACGTGTAGACTAGAGTCTTGGGAGAGATTCGGACCGTAGGGGAAAACAGAGATGTGTCTGTCTCCTGCACAGGCCTGCTTCGGCCACATGGATGAATACATGCAAGAAAAGACCCTGACTGCCCTCTTTGCCAGAGTGTGATTGTTGGCGCAGAGAGGGCGAGTTCAGCTCGTATTTATTTGAGAGACTGCACGTTTTACCTAGTAAATTATAGTGTCCCAAAGTTCGAAAGAAAAATAACCTGCTAAGATGTTTAGAGGTACTTGGTGAAGGTGGATCTGACTGTAAAGTAGTGCTTAACTTAGTGTTTCCATCTGTAGACATGGTTTGACTTTCTGAAAGTCCTCTCCAGGTAGTTTCGCTTTCTGTCGGTAAAGTTTGAAAATGTCTTCCAATTACTACATTTAAACAAAATATTCTTTCATTCCCTGTCAGGTTTCTACACTGCGTTTCAGATTCCAGTGTGTAACTGGAAGTTGAATTAAGTGTGACAGGAACAACTAAGGGCTAGATTAAGCTAGGTATGAATAATTTTACACAGACAAAAGCCTGGGGGTGAACTTGCTCTCTGCCCTGTTCCCAGGCTACATTTTTAATCTTAGCACAAACGTGGACTTTGTTTTTATTATCTGATGTTTCCCTCCACTTCTAGGTGCCCAGATGACTATTATGAGCCAAGCTTGTGCAGAAAGGTGTAATATAATGAGGCTGGTGGACCGTCGGTGGGCAGGGATCGCCAAAGGAGTGGGCACTCAGAAGATTATTGGAAGGGTACATCTAGGTGAGCAAAGGCACCGCGGGAGTCTTTTCAGAATAGTAGATTCTTAAAAAATTCATTTTGCTTAGGTATATCTGATCCAGCAAGCCTAATCGCCAGGAATTTTAAATCTTCTGTTTTGTCTGAATTACACATGCACATGTTTTAGCTGGTTATGAAAAATCAGTCGCTGTGTACTTCTCTGTTCCTGTGCCTTAGAGATCCCTTTCAACTATTTTAGCTCATTTCTTTTGGTGCTTACCTCCATATTTCAAAATAACGCGTGTATTGTGCTGTTACTGATACGTAAATACTGTTGAGAGCTGAGCCATCTAATTGAAAATGATTGCTTTTCCTTTTGTGTCTAGTATTGTTTTTCTCGTAATAATTCTTTTGTTTTGGTCATTTGGGATTCTGTGTGTTACTCAGTCCCCAAACCCACTTACCTAGTTGTGTAAATCTTCTTTATGCATTTCATCCTGTTGAAGATTCTTCTAGAGACTGGACGGGTGCTTCAGAGTTGCCTCACAGCTGCTGTTCAGAATCTCCCTTGCCTGGGTCTCAAAGGCTCCTTTCCCCTTGGTGGTAAATTGGATTATGTGCATCCCCTGTCTCACTCTTTGTAATTTTGCTCCTCATCCTTAGAGTACACCTTCCAGTAGCTTCCTGAGAAAAAGTGTAAGGGTGGAAACTGAGTCCTTAAGAATCAGAACTTGTCTTTTTCCACTATATTCTACCAGTGTGGCTAAGTTGGAAATCATTTCTGTTTTCCGCAGTTTTTGTCAGTGGGTTGCTGTAGGGAAGCTGGCTGCTGTCCCGATTCTTGACCCTTTATGTGAAAGATTTCTTTTCCGTTTCTGAAGCTTGTGGAATCCTCTTTGACCTCAGTGTTTTGGAATTTCACAGCGATGTACTCGGGTGTAGATCTGTCTTCATCCACTGCACTGGGTACTTTTCACTCCCTGCACCCCTCCGCCCTATGTCTGTTGCTTGGGTGGGATAAATCTCCTATCCTGGACTTGTCTTCTAGTATTCTTTCTTTCCTATTTCTCTCTTTCATGTGTCCTGGGTGTGTTATTTGTTTGGCAGATTTCCTCAACTTTGCCTCCCAACCTTTCTATTATGTTTTGCATTTATTTGATGTTTGTGTTAGATGGTTTTCCCAGATGTCTGCTGACCCTTGGCATCTGCTCATATTGAAGACTGAGACACCAAAAGGCTATTTGGAAGATTACTTGGGTGGGCAGCCATGGCAATTGTGGGTGATCTGGAAGTTGGAAGGGAGAAAAGGGCTAGATGCTCAGTAAACTTGAACTTCATCCCCCTGGGTTTCAGTTACATGCTTGTTGTATCTCTGTCTTCCTCCGTGCCCACCTCTGTTTTACCGTCTTGAGAAAATAAACCTCCGGTCTACTGTGGGGGTGAAGGGAAGAAGTCACGTGACTGAGCAGAGGGCCAGAGGGAACCCCAAGATCTAACTGTGCCTCCTACAGAGACCTTCACCCAGTCTTCCTGCTTTGGACCCACCTCTACCCCTGTTTGCACAGGTCCTTGTTCATCAGCCTCTGGGGAGTTCTGACATGTGAACTGGCTTACTTCCTGGTTTTCCTTACTGTCCTCTGCTTTCTGTTCCAAAATTGTGTTTCAGTTGTTTCTTCCATTATTTTTGTCCTTAGTGATTTGTACCTTAAATAAACTTTTATTATGAATCTTTTAGGAGTAAATGGAGATAAATACATGTCTTCAGTCCCTCATCTCTAACCAAAATTGTTCTTTTTCTTAATACTTTAAATCCTTTTGAGTGAGACTTAACCACCAAGTCCCACTTCATCTCCTTCTGGCCTTTTTTTCCATGCATTTTATTCTTGCAAAAAAGTGGTCATATAATGTATAGAATTTTATACCCTGTTTTATGAAAAAATGATATTCATAATATTTCTCTACTGTTACTACATATTTCATAAGCACCATTCAGATGCATAGCATTCTCTTATATGGGCTTAGTGGTCAACTCTTAGGATAAAATTTCCCCCCAATATTTTATTATTGTAATACGGCAGTGGATTTTTGTGTAGTTTTGTGCACATTTTAATTTTTTTTAGTCAGAATTCCTGTAAGTGAAGCTACTGAATCAAAGGTTATGAATACTTAAAAGCTCTTGATGTATTTCTAACTTGTACCAAAGCAGCTTTCCCAGCAATGAATCAGTATTCATCTTGAGGTCCTTATGCAATCAAGGGTTATTAGTTTTTACTCCCTTAATGTACAGATTAAAAAAGGGTTTTTTTTTTTTTTTTACTGTAAGTTTCTTTTATTGCCGGTGTTAGATTCTACCCATTTTTCTCTTTTTTTTGTAATATATTTGTCTATTAGAGTCTCTGTGTTTTCTTTTGTCGATTTGTATAGACTAAGAATAGTTTAAATACCTTCCTCACATATACTTCCCTACCTACAGTGGGCCTGAACTATCACACAATGGTTGCTTCAGAGTCTAAATTCTCAGAATTTTTGTGGTTTTAGGTAGGAAAATGATAGGAGGAAGTAATGTAAGTACCAGTCTCCTGTGTCCTTCCTTGTGGATGGGCAAGCTGTAGCATTTGCAGCTTTGGCTATGATAGGGAGGAAGAAAACCTTACGATTATAAGGGAAATCTAAGTAAAGGGGAGCTATGTCACGGATAAGAAGCCTCAGGATGTCGAAGGTGGTAATTCTCCCACATTCATCAGCAGTAGAGTCATTATAATACCCTTAAGATCCCAGTAGGTTTCTTTTTTTTTTGTGAGACCTGATGTGCTAACTTAAAATTCTACATGGGCCATTTATTGTAGGAATAGGCAGGATACTCTGGAATAACTCCCTCTCTAGGTGTCAAGACCAGAGGGCTAGAACAGAAACAGACCCATGCTTACGTGGACCTTGACACATGAGAGAGGAAATCTTACGGAGCGGAGGGAAGTTTTCAGGAAACGGTGCTAGGACAGCTGGGTGTCCGTGTGGAAAAAATGAATTGGAGATTGGACCCTGTCTTACATCGCACACAAATGTCAGTTCAGGGTTGATGAAAGACCTTGATGTGAAAGGCAGTCAGAGCTTTTAGAAGAAAATATAGGAGAATATCTTGCATGGGGAAGGGGTTCCTTAAAAGTTAAGAAGGAAATTATTTGACGAATTTGGCCACATTAAGATTAAGAACTTTTTATCAAAAGGCATAAAGAAAGTGAACAAATGCAAAGTAGGAAAGAATTTTTGTAACACATATGACTAATAAAGGATTCAGATTCAGAATATGTACATTATGTGTGTGTTGTCTGTCCTCCAATTCAGGAGAAAAGACAGTATAGGGGCACCTGGGTGGCTCAGTTAAGGGTCCAACTCTTGATCTCAGCTCAGGTCTTATCTCAGGGTCATGAGTTCAAGCCCTGCTTTGGGCTCCACACTAGGCATGAAGTCTGCTTAAAAAAAAAAAAAAATTATAAAAAAATTGCAGAAACGACTAAATAAGCACTTTACACACACACACACACACACACACACACACACACACACACACACCATTAGAGAAACTGAATACACACCAGGAGACAAGTACCAGAATATTTATTCAGGGTAGCATTGCTTATGACAGCAGAAAACTGAAAGCGACCCAGAAAGTCGCGGAGCAATAGAATCGATAAATCAGTTTTGGTATATTAGATATTACAGTACTCTAAGGGGTGATTTAAAGTGAAAGAAACAGAGTCCGATGTACAGGGATAGATCTCAAAATATTTTTTGAGTAAAGAAGCAAATGGTAGTTCAAAAACACAAAGTTAAACAGTAATGCTGCTTAGAAATCATACAGAACTGGTAAGGATTATTTAAAAAGCTGGGAATGATGAACACAAAAACCAGCTTAGTGGGGAAGGTTGGAGAAGTCACTGAGTTCTGATCGGTAGAATATATAGGGAATTTCTGTGCTTTTGTGTTTTCTAACCTGGGAAATAAATGCATCGGTGTTTGTTCTATTAGACTTTATACTGTACACATTTCATATACTCTTCTGTTTGTAAGATAAACTTAAGAACAGGGTGCGTGGGGGCTCAGTCAGTTGAGAGTCCGCCTTCGGCTCGGGTCGTGATCCCAGGGGGCTCAGATCGAGTCCCGAGTTGGGCTCCCTGCTCAGAGAGGAGCCTGCTTCTTCCTCTGCAACCTCCCCCACAGCAGTGCATTCATGCTTTCTCTCAAAAATAAATAAAATCTTTAAAAAAAAAGATATACTTAATAACAAAGTAATTTTTATTTTTTTTATTTGACAGAGAGAGACAGTGAGAGAGGGAACACAAGCAGGGGAGTGGGAGAGGGAGAAGCAGGCTTCCCATGGAGCAGGGACCCCGATGTGGGACTTGGTCCCAGGACCCTGGGATCACAACCTGAGCCGAAGGCAGATGCTCAACAACTGAGCCACCCAGGCGCTCCAACAAAGTAATTTTAATATATTATATGTATATATATATATAGGACTAATTAAGGAAAGAGGCAAAGCAGGAGGCTCCAGGCAAACACAGGCATTGGTTTGTCTCAGCTTTTGCAAATAGAAACTTGATTATAACAGGCAATAATAAACAGTTTACTTTTTGGAGGCTAACTTATGTACAGATTTTATTTCCCTTTTAGAAAGCCTTTTGTAAGCGTTTAGGAAGCAAGTGGTTAATATTGGAGGAACTTAGGGCCAGCTTTCCTTACCACCTGAGCATGTGTCCCAATGGTACCATGTATCTAGCCGAGTATTCTGGGTAGTGTCGTTCCACTCTTAGCCACTTTACAAGCTGGTGCCTTCATTGGCTTTCAAACCGATCGTTGGGCTTACTGGATTTTGATACTTAACTCACCTGTTTCATGCCTTGCCCTGGCTTTGGCTGATTACAGGGAGCAAGGCACAGAATGATAGGTACATTTCCGAAGCTTGTGTGAAGCTTTTGAAGCAAAAATCAGTAATCTCAAAAAAATAAAATCAAATAAAAAGTAGAGATTAAAATAAAAATCCACAATCTCTTCTCTTAATGTGCTTTAGCTCAGGTTCAGATTGAAGGAGATTTCCTGGCGTGTTCTTTCTCTATACTTGAGGAACAGCCCATGGACATGCTTCTGGGACTGGACATGCTGAAGCGGCATCAGGTAGTTAGAGCTTCGCTTTCCTTTTGCATCGGTATTTTGTGTGTTACACGGTTATTAGCACATCATCTCCCTCGGTTGTGTATACCGGAAAACTGAGAGGCCATGGCTTCTCCAACCTGGAAAGGTCCTGAATTGAGGATGTCATCATGCATGGTTTGAAATTATGTATCCATAGAAATAGAATTTCTTCTTGTGAAATCTCTCTGAATCTTTAAATCTTGCCATCTGTTTGAGATTATAATGGGCAACTTTGTTCTCTTGTGTTATTTTTAGTTTTTGATGGGAACTCAGGTAATTTTTGACAGGTTTGCGGGATCTGAACAACACATGATGGTAATTTTTTTTTGAGAGGTGGGGGAGGGGCAAAGGGAGAAGGGGAGAGAGAATCTTAAGCAGACTCCATGGCCAGGAAAGAGCCCAACTCAGGGCTCGATCTCACAGCCCTGAGATCATGACCTGAGCTGAAGTCAAGAGTCAGACACTTAACTGACTGAACCACCCAGGTGCCATCATGATGGTGATTTTACTGCAAGTATACGTTTAGTAAATCCTTACTACCTAGGCAGACGATGCTCAGTAAGAAGAGCTGCAGGATTAAGGAAGGTGTACATGAGATGTTGGGAGTAGAAATGTTTATTTAGTACAGGGAGGAGGATTTGTAAATATATTTGCTTGCAGTGATATTTATATTTCCACTCTGAAGTCTAATAATTTGTTTAAAGATAAACTCTTCTGATTGAAGAAGCAGTTAGTGTCCACTGGGTAATAAGATTTTTCACAGCAATATTTCATATCTAGTCAATATTTTTATGTCACTAGTACTCTTTAAAAAGATTTTTATTACTAAATTCCTATAAAACATACTGCGTTAATATTCTACTGAAGGTGCAGAATTTTAAGTAGAAGGGATGAGTGAATGCATGTTTTAATAAAACCCAGTTTTTTAACCTGTCACCATCTTTCTCCGTTTGTTAGTCTTGGTATAGACCAGTACTCTCCAACTTGACAGATATAAAACATGCATGTGTGTACTGTCCTATGTCATATACACAGAAAAAATATACAAAAAAGGAGGGCAGCATAAGTATGAAATAAAGAATACTTTTGTAGAGGGCGCCTGGGTGGCTCAGATGGTTAAGCGTCTGCCTTTGGCTCGGGTCATGATCCCAGGGTCCTGGGATCAAGTCCCGCGTCGGGCTCCTTGCTCAGCAGGGAGTCTGCTTCTCCCTCTCCCTCTGCCTCTCCCCCTGCTTGTTCTCTCTCTGTCTCTCTCGCAAACGAATAAATAAAATCTTTAAAAAAAAAAAATACTTTTGTAGAGATGGCCTTGCCCATATACCACTTTTGAGATCATTGGTATAAAGTTTAAATATAAGTTGTACTTTATGCAATAAGGAAAATGTAAATAGTAATGTAAATGTGAATGTATAAATAGTATGTCTCAGTTTTATAAGAAAAAGTTACTTACATGTTTCTAAAAAGTGGGGCTGCTGATTATGCCCGGCATGTTTCCAAATTTTTACAATGAACATGTATTACATTACATTTAATTACATATTACATTACCGCATCCAATGAAGATGATTCTGCTATAAACTTTAAATACTTAAAAATATTTAAATATGAAATAAATATTTAAATTCATGATAATTTTCCTGCATGGCGTTTTATCCACTGTCATCTGTCTTCGGTCTCTTCCTTCTAAGTGTTCCATTGACCTCAAGAAAAATGTGCTCGTGATCGGCACCACAGGCTCTCAGACCACCTTCCTTCCCGAGGGAGAGTTACCAGAGTGTGCCCGATTGGCATACGGGGCTGGGCGAGAGGACGTGCGGCCGGAGGAGATTGCAGACCAAGAATTAGCAGAAGCTCTTCAGAAATCCGTAGAGGATGCAGGTATTTGCAGTGGCCAAGCTCTCGAATAACTTTTCTTGTTACTGGTTGGTGAGTGGGGGAGGTTGGATCTTCAGAGGGGTTGGGGACCTTTTCAGTTTCTAATCCGTGTCACTGTCCTGTCATGGATGTGTTCCTTGTCTTCTCACCACCTCTTCCTATCTCTGAGTCCAATAAAGAAAACCTTGGTGTTTCGACAGATCCATTGCTGTGTTACCAGGTACGTCAGGGAGTTATTTGCTTAAGCACATTTTGGTAGGCTTTCTAAAAAATCTTGTTTCTTTTTTCCTAACAAAAATTACTACAGGGCGCTTGGCTGGCTCAGTCGGTTGAAGGGCCAACTCTTGATCTCAGCTCAGGTCTTGATCTCAGGGTCGTGAGTTCAAGCCCCGCACTGGGCTCCATGCTAGGTGTGGAGCCTACTTTAAAAAAGAAAAAAAAAAATTAAGCAGACATTTCCTTTTGAGTTCTACAGTTTCCCTGAAAATTTATTTTCCTTTTCTTGGGCCCATTTCCTTTGAAGGATAGCATTGTCGTTGTGACTAAGCAGTCCCGACCTTTTTAATATGTACTGAAAGTGCTGCCACCATAGACAGAGGAATCGACGATAAGATGCACAATTGAACACTAATCAAACTACAGTGTTTATGCTATTAATGAGATTGCATAGTGTGTCCTTGGGCTAAATTAGAACAGTAGATCAGCTGTTGACATGGGGATACCTAGTCATTTTTTCGTTAAGTCTCAATTGTCATGGCTTGTTTAAATCTAAAGACCAAGCCAAGTTTTCTGGGCTAAGTAGAAGGACACATTTTTGCTGAAATCCTACCTTCATGGCATAATTTCTCCCCATCTGTTATAAAACAGTGACTCTGGGATACATTTTCTAGAAGCTGAAGAGAATTAACTTTTAAGGTGGGGTTATTTTAAAGTCTTGAGCTGTAATTATTCATCAGTGACTAATACCACACACTGTGTTTTCTGGTATAGCAAAATGTATTAGAGCTACAAGTCCAGGGAATAGCTTTCTCCTAAAGACAAAAAAGATAGGATCTTTAAAAAATAAGCAGCCAGATTTTGCCAGTGTTTTTACTTAGAGAACACCCGGAGGTCTAGCCCTGAGCCTCTTTAAAATGGGTGTGGGTAGCAGACAGAGTTTTCCAAGCTGGCCTTGTTCCTAATCACCACACCTTTTGGCACCTTTGAGTTTTACATATAAAGTACGGCTTTGGTTGTGACATAACTGTTTTGCAGGAAGGGGAGAATTCTGAACAACCAGACAGAGACTAAATTAATAGTTTTAATCTTCCCTGCAAGGCAAGCTTGACTGAGTTTGACATACCCACTTAGAAGGTTTTACCTGTTTTTAGTAACTTGTCAGCTTAGTCATAATACTGGGTATTAACAAAATGAAGATGTATTACCATCTTGTGAAATCTCCATTTTTCCCCCACAATTTGGTGTTTTTATTTGAGAAGCACTAGCTGATGATAGCAATGCTTTCTAACCTACTAACAGTTACCCTCTTTGGGTAATTACCTTCTTGTAATAAAAAGTTCAGGGAATTAAAATAGAAACCACAGGTGTTTTCAGCATAGTGAAAGGAATGTACCAATTGAAAGGATTAAAAGGAGGTGTGTACCTGGCTAGCTCAGTCGGTGGACCGAGAGACTCCTGATCTTGGGGTCATGTGTTTGAGTCCCACATTGGGCTTAGAGATTACTTTAAGGACATTAAAAGTAAAATTAAAAAATAAAAATATTTTTTAAAAGGATTAAAAGGAAATGGGTTTTTTCCCACGTGCCTTTTTGTTACTGATGATTTTCTATCAATGGAAAACTAAATCCGAAAGGAGCTGTATCTAATACATCTTCTAAAAACTGGCTAAAAGATAAGCCAGGATAATCCAGTTTGGTTTGTTTTTCCTCTAAAAATAAATCTCAACTGAGAAGGAAATTTGGAAAGTGACTGTTACAAGCGTTCGCTCACCTTTAAGATTTCCATACCGTGTGATTCCATCTATGGGTCTCCTGTTCTCCACCCGTCCCACATGTCTGCCCGTGAATTCTGTGTGTGTGGGTGTTTGAAGTTCATTTCTTTCCAAGTTCTTTTGAAAAATCTGTTGAAGTTGACACATTGCTTTATGTATTGTGAGAGAATTAAACCAACTAGACTACAGAAACATTCCCCAAGCTTGACTCTACCAGTTCCTGATTGTAAAGGTGGCAGAGGAATGGAGACAAAACCCTGCATGCTGTGTGGTTTGCACTGTTAACCCAAGTTTGCTTGTCTGTTTCCTAATTCAAACAGAGCGTCAGAAGCCATGATGCATGTAGTGTGTGTGTACTGCAGCTGGAGTGGGCCCCAGACCAGGTATTTATAGACACCACGTTAAGCCTTCCATCCAGTTATCGTCTGTGGTCTGAAAGTCTCTGTATCTGCAGCAGTTTTGGAATTTAGCTTCTGCCATCCATTTCACCTTGTTTAATCTGGTTACAACTAGCCTGTATATGCATCTGTGTGTTGGCATACGTACGTAACTGAGCACAATTTCCTATGCAAAATTTTCTCAACCATTGGAACAGTCCAAGGAGGGGAGGGAAATCCCAGGAAAAACGGCCCATCTGGCCATGGTGAATATATCAAATCAAGAAAGTCAGCACCACAGTGCATTGTTGTTGAGGTAACTACACCATCAGGGGTTTCTTGAGTCTGTTTCTTCTGAAAACCTGGAAGTTCTTTTTTCCTAGCACTGCACACAACCACATAGAGTTAGAAACAGGTAGAAATTGCCAGTCCACTGAGGAAGAAGTGGAACCCTAGACCAGCTGACTTGTCTAGGGACACAGGTTCACTAATGTGGGCAGAACTTAGGCTTTATTCTCCCAGAAAGAAGAGCTGACACTTGGCACTTCCGTCGCTCCCTAGCCTGACAGACTCTCCCCTGGAGGCGCTCTGTCCCCGTTTCCCTAGAGTGTAAATCTGGGGGACAGCAGCCTGAGCGTACCGGCTGATTTCTCAAGGGGAAGAAAGAGTCTTTAAACTACCAACCTTAGACTTTATTAGGGGTTTGCAGGCTGGTTGTAATTAGATACCTAGCACTCAATTTCTTCTTTTTTCCTTTTTCCTTACAAAGGTGGGGTAAAAGTAGACACGGTTTAATTAGCCTTCATATCCATTGCCCTCATCCCCTTACCCTACCCTGTAGTACTGACCCAGCGCTCCCCTACAGCTAGGACTTAGGCCAGTGAGACTGACCGTCTCAGCTATAGGAGGACTGTGTGCTGCTTTCATAGTGAGCACCAAACACATGGAGGCCATGTTCTCCTTGACGTCACTCAGTCGTCCGAACTGGCACGCTGGTGCCAGAAAGCCATTATCACATACCCTATGCCACTCACATGGATACTTCACTGTAACGCATCTTCTCTGTTGGCAGTAACTCGCAGTTGAACCTCTTTCAGAGTCAGCTCTAGAGATTGATAAATAAAATTAATCACTGTGTTTCTAGGCACTAATGGATATAATTTGCACTGAAATAAATACTGTTTTCCCGTTTACCTCTAAGCTATCAGATTGTTTTGCAAGAAGTCAGTAACTTCCTGTATCAGTTAATGCTTTATCTTCTCCTGCTGTTAACCAATGTCGCATTAGAATGATTTAGAGCTGTTTGAATCCTAACTGGATTGCTTCATGTCTTCTTAAGATCAGGCCCCCCACATTGGATGTTAATCAGCATGAAGCATTTGAGTCACATCTGCCCTAAGAGATTGTATTGTGAAGTAATCTTTGTTACCAGCCTTTGACATTTAATTGAAGATCTTATAGTAACTGCATAGAGGTCGATGTTTAACTGGATCGGTGGCAAAAGGCAGGTTGGAGTGATGATTAATGGTGTCATGAGGTGGTGTTTGAGCCTGCCGTCCTGTGAATGCTCAGTTAGTTGCAGTCAATCTAAATTGTCATTGCCTGGCAAAAAACCATTACAAACTATCTCCTTCCACTGCCAGGACCACCCCCTACTGTGCCCTTAAAGTACTTAAATGTTCTCACTTAGTTGTACCACGTTAATGTGATAAAGTAACTGATAATCCTTTCCAAAGTTGCCCTATTTGGTAAGGTGATGATTGGATTTAATCTGTTTGACCTTTAGCCTTATTTTTGTTCTTTGACTCCACACTCACACAGTTTTATCCTGATTTTCAGGAAGTTTGGAGAGAAATGAATTAAATGGAATGTTTTTCTGTCTTCTGGAGATTCCCAAGCGTATTCTCCTTTCTCATTATAATTCCTGCTCTGTTCCAGATATACCCGGATTTAGACTTGTCGTTTAGAACCTTCATGTTCACATTTGAAACACTAAAAGTGCATTGACATGAGAATTGTTCAGTGTAGAGATCCTCAAAATTTGTGACATGCTTAAGAATCACCTGAGGAGCTTATTGAAAATGCATATTCATGGGTTTCCTCCCAAGGATGAGTGCCCCTGAATGTGCACGCTTAGCAAACATGCCAGGTGATTTCAGGGCAAGTGATAGAATACACTTGGAGAAACTCTTCTAGAGTTCTGAGCTCACTGAGCATAAAGATACATCCTTTTCCCTCAGTCTTGAGCACTAACCCAGTTACTATGTGGATGTTTATTAATGGTACTTAAAAATACTGAATTCGAGTACACATCTTTTATTAAGAATGTACCTACCTCTTATTCTGATGCTGTGATGTTAAATTGTCTACCCCAGTGAGAATGGTTCTTGTATAAGTCTATGAATATAAGACAAACCCAAGTTTAAGGACCTGATTTTGTTCTGTCCTGTTTAGATCTTATCATCTGATAATTTAGTGGCCTTTGTAATCTGCTGATTAATCTCCTTTCCTTTTTGTTCCATATAGAGAAAAGCGGTAAAGAAACTACCTCACTGGGAATGTCATCATTACCAACTTCAAATGGATTTAACCATCCAGCCCATCCTTCAGGACAGAGTCCTGAGATTGGTAATCCTATGAGTCTTGCTCACTCTGTCTCTGCTTCAGTCTGCCCTATCAAGCCCAGTGACCCCAACAGCATCGAACCTAAAGCTGTGAAGGCTTTGAAGGCTTCAGCTGAATTCCAGATAACCTCTGAAAAGAAAGAACATCTTCCTCTGCAGGATCTTTCTGATAGTGCTTCTTCAGCAGACAGTGCTCCAGCAGATCAGAGTCCAGCCATGCCTTTGCGGAATTCCTCTGAAGAAGCCATTGTTGCCGATAATATGGAGAAATCTGCTGATAGAAGCACCCAGGGCCTCAGATCTCATCTCCACACAAGACAGCAAGCTAGTGTATCTGTCACAACTACTAGGGTGCAAGAACCACCGGGGTTTCTAGGTGAAAAGGGTTGGCATCCAGAAAATCAGAACCTGTGTCAGGTGAATGGCCTTCAGCAGCACAAAGAACCAGGGAGTGAACAGCACGGGGTTGGACAACAGAATGCTCTAAATGACCGAGAACATCTCTGTAACACAGAGGACTTTGAACTTCTTGGAGAAAGGCAACAGAATCAACAAAGAAGTGTTGATTTGGAATCGACAATGAAAGAAGACAGGCTACAACAGAATGTGGACCTTCCAGGTACAGAGGAAAATACTCTACCTTCAGGATGCTTTGGCTGCTCAAACTCAGAAACACTTATGGAAGTAGATACAGTTGAAGAGTCCCTAGTTGCTGTGCTTAATTCAGCAGATGGTCAGCATGCCAGTGTCAAGAACATCGGTGCATCTGCTCTCACCTTAGATAATCCCTTGATGGAAGTAGAAACATCAAAATGTAACCCTTCGTCTGAAATTTTGAGTAATTCAGTTTGCACTCAGGATTTACAGCTCCCAGACAGTAATGTTGAAATGTCTGGAACAAGTAAAGAAGATGGGGATTGCTCCCCCTCTTTAAGTCTTTGTGGCAGTTCTCAGCCCTCTGTGGAGTCAGCAGAGGAATCTTGCTCATCTTTAACAGCAGCCTTGAAGGAACTCCATGAACTTCTGGTCATTAGTAGTAAACCAGCTTCAGAAAATATATCTGGGGAAGTTATCTGTCAGTCCGAAATGGTAACTGAGGGCCCAACAGTTATTAAGGACCTTTCTGAAAGATGGACCCAAAGTGAACATCTTACAGCTACCCAGGATAAAGAGCATTCACAGGTCACCCTTCGTCAGAGCATATCTGTGTCAGTGAGGGCAGAGAACTTACCAGACACTTCAAATGGTGCTGGAGTAGATGCAGTAGAAAATAGTACCGTAAGGGATCCGGGCGATGGCCTAGTACCGGATAAGGAAAGTGTCCCCGAGCCTAGGGAATCTGGAAAGGAGAGCAGCTCTGCCACTCTAGCCTCAGCTGAAACGTCTCATCAGTCGCACTGCACCTTAGGTGTAGACATTCCACCCAAACGCTTAGCTGGTGAGGAGGATGCAGTCAGTCACACTTGTGAGCAAGCGAAGTCCTTGTCCAATTTCATACTGGTTCAAGATTTGGGCCAGGGCACACACAAGCCAGTGCCAGACAGGCCTGAGACCAGAGAAGATGTCTGTCCCGAAGCTGCAGGACCACTTCTTGAATGTGAACCGCCTCCCAGCCAGCCATCAAGTCCCTCCATTCTTTCACCATTAATTTTCCCCGCCGCAGACATTGACCGCATTCTCCGTGCCGGCTTCACTTTGCAGGAAGCTCTTGGGGCTTTGCATCGAGTTGGTGGAAATGCAGACCTTGCACTTCTTGTTTTGCTAGCAAAGAACATTGTAGTTCCTACATAACCATGGAAAAGGGGGCTAGACCATACTCCATTCCCTTTAAAAAAGCTATACACGCACACACACACACGCACACACTCACCACATATACAGAATATGTAGAAACCTGCAAGCAGAATGTTGAGCCAGATTTTTTTTAAGGATTTTTTTCGGCCAAAGTAACTTATCTCTTGTCTGATGAATTTGTCTATTCTCTTTGTTAAAATTTGGGCCTTTTTAAATGTATTGGCAGTAATGTGCATACAAAAGCTTTTTATTATCATTAAGATGATGTATTCTGGAATAAAATTGATGGTTTTGTGTATAGCATACCATTTTAGAATGAGAGTGAATGCTTTAAAAAGCAGAAGCCATGAGAAGTCCCACCTCCCATGCAGCTAGAAGCAAATCAGCTTCCCATTTTGGCTGTGTATGTGCTGTAGGCAAGGTATGGCTTGTTGGCTCAGTTGTCCATTTACAAACTGGATCACATGGTTTGGTGTTTGGAATTACACTTAGTGCTCTGTGTATTGATGAATCATCAGTTATAACAGAAAATTGAGGAATAGTTGAATAATATCTCTTAGAGTGGTATGTTTTTATTTGTTTGGTTAGGATTTGACCTTTTTATGGGATGAGGTGGGAGGGTTTAGAACTTGGGCTGCTTTGTGCATCATAGGCTGCTGCATGGATTGCCAAGTATTTGGGGTGGGGCACTGGGGGGGGGAGCGGGGGAGTCAACATCAGAGTGAAACATGGTGCTACCCAGATAAGAAAAGGGAAGAGTCTGTAATTCCATTTGCAAATGTCCTGGTGATGTTTCAAGAACTAGGAGTGAAAAATGGCCGAAACACTGGAATTGATTAGAGAGTGGGTTTGCTAGCATCTTACTGATCACACCTCAACCTTTAGTGATTAATGAGGAACTTAAAGATCTGCTAATGGGTTGATTGCCAGAAGTTTATTTCCTTTGGAAGCTCATCTACTAGGAACTTGTAAAGCTCAGGTTGAGCTGTGATCTGAGTGAAATATTATGAAGTGGGATAACCTTGTCACTGGTTCATCTTGGTGCTTGGAATGGTCAGTCTCTTTGTTGAGTGTCCTTCATGGCACCGGAAATAGTAACTGCAGTTTCTGACTCAAGTGGCCTTGGGTAGAGATTTCCATCCCTTTCTTTCCTCAGGAGTTTCTTTTTTAAAGCAAGATGCATCATATTTGTGTTTACCATGTCAAGGTAGAGTGGGGCATAGTATATAGATGTATTTATTGTGGCCTTTTTTTATATGAGGACTAGCCCTTGGAAACCATTGTCCTGTGGGCCCCACTGTGCAATAATCCTACTGGATAGGTTTTAGGTAGTTTTTCCTGGAAAATAAACTCTCTTACGTACCTAGCAGGAATCCAAAATCTTGGTTTTATTGAAAAGAATCTTGAGAATAACTCCCGATTCCAAGTTGTGGTTCGCAGTGTGTTTGAAACAGATGCTTTGAAAGGGTGATTCGTGAACTTAGTGTTAAATGATTTTTGTCTAAAGTCTTACTCTCTTCGGAAGCTTATTCTTTCCATCAAAATTCGAGTCATTGAGCACAATCAAAATGGAGGCTCATATCTCAGGAGTTTTTGAAATTTTTATTTGGGGGCACTTAGAGACGTTTCTCTTCTACCCTATTCCATCTTTTCCTTTTGCTGTGATATTTGTCTGTGTGTTAATGAGACTTTAGTGATGTGATAGAAAGTCACATAGATTCATCATGATCTGAAGTTAGGAGATGGTTGACAGAAGGAGTTGTGGTTTACTGTTTTCAAGAGGGCATTCAGAACAGCGGGTCAGCCAGGTTGTCTTTAAGATGTTCTTTTAGACAATCACATGTCGCAGACCCTTTTGCCTGCCCCACACCAAAGATGTAAGATGCACTAGGAAACTGCATATAGGATTTCTGTCAACCGACTCTTAGAGCTGTGATTGTAATTAAGTAGTTGGTGCTATGATTGAAGCAAAATCTAGTAGCAATGCAATGGCCCCTGTATTTGCTTTATGGGTGGTAATTGGGAATTTATTCTAAGCTTATAAATCTTTTAAGGTTGCGAAGTGGGTTTGGTGTGAGGTGGGGGAAGTTATCGATGAAAACAGACTCCTCCAAAAAGGCCTCTGCGTGAAGATGGGCCTCATAGTCTTCTGTCTGGGTAGTGACGTACTGCTCAGAGGCTTGGCTGCTCAGTTTTCACAGTGCAGAGATTTGGGAATCAATCCCAGGTGGAATATAGAATATCAGCCTGGAAAAGGTTTTATTATAATAGCTTTTTACTACATATGTATATTTATTTTTAGGAGAAAATTGAATAGGCCTATAGTTGTACATGTATTCTTGTTAGTAGTGCTTTGAATGAATGAGCTGAACCCACTTGCCAAATATCCTGGTCCTTTTTCATCATTTATTTTTCAGTGTATAATTGCTTCGATTTTTAAAACCTTATTTCCTGTTCCATCATTTGTATGAAAGTGAAGTTGTTGACATTGTTAGGATCTTGAATCATTCTTAAATTTTGCAGTTCTTAAAACACAAAGGGAATTAAGGAACATGACACTAGTGAACCTTCATTGTCAGTTTTTTTGAAAGTGCAGACATTTGGGGCGCCTGGCTGGCTCAGTCGGAAGAATATGCGACTCTTGATCCCAGGGTCGTGAGTTCGAGCCTCACGTTGGATGTAGAGATTATTTAAAAAAAAAAAAAAGTTAAAATAACCTTTTTTTAAAAAGTGAAGAAATTCAAGATTAACTTCTCTTAAAGTAAGATAAAATCATTGTGAACTCCTCTGGTTGCTAAAATACTGATACTGGTCAGCCATAAGCAGTAATGGGCCACTTTACTGACAGCTTCTTTGCCACAACCAGTAATGGACGGTTCTGTGGTCAGCACTCACGTCCAAGGGTGGTCTCTGTTTATTCACCAAAGAGAGGAGAAGATTGTCCTGTATGACTTCTGCAGTTTACCCTAAGTTGATGCGCGTGTGCAGCAATGTGCTTGGTGACCTGACAGCTGTGCTGAGGCTGTAGATTTTGCTCATTGGAGCTGATAAGAATGATTTCCACTTGGACCTGTTTAGGCCTCCAGACATCAGCCAGTAGCCTTCATCCCACAGTTTGGGCCTTAGCCATTAACATATAAAGATAACCAGTTGCTTGGCAAAGAGAACGGGATAGATGGTGGGTGTGTGTTAAAACTGTTCTGCCTTGGAGCCTATGAAACCTCCCAGAGCTCCTCGTCTCCATATGTACTAAAGGAAGACACAACCCATGTGTTTTTTCCCAAAGCAATTCTCTAGCAAGAGAGGGTTGCATAAAAATGGAAAGATACATGAGACTCTGTGTCACCGATTTTATAACTAGTTAAAATGGAATCTGCCTGTTCTTCCCTTAGCACAGCTTTCTATCTCTAGTAAAAGCCATAAAAACTTAGTTGATTTAACCATCAGCTCGTGTGTGTGTGTGTGTGTGAGTGATTGACAAATATCCTACAGTTAATTTTACATAGACTGAAAAGCAAACAGTTTTTGTATCTACAGATATATTCTCCACTTACAGTGGCTTTTATCCGACGATATATATAAAAACAGCCTTGCAAATAACTGGCCAGGAAAGTTCCAGTGCATTCTGACTTCCTTTTCCTACCTGTTTGCCGCCTGTAATGAGAGCAAGCAGGATAATTGAACTGCGATGTATTTCAAACTTGTTATCACTGGTAACATATCCTAAGATAAGCTAATTAGATTATGCATTCTTCTGTTCTCTAGCACAAATACCAAAACGCCAAATTTCTCCTTTGAATTTGGTGACTTAGTATAGTCTGTGGCTGAACTAGAAAGAAACAAGTTATTAGGAGTTTCCTTTCCCAGAAGATGGAATGTTAACCTTTTTGTATTAGGAGTTCCATAAAAATAAAAAAAATAGCTTTTTTTCTGAAAGAATAAAAAACTCCAGTTCCTCTTAACAACGGAGTAAATTCGAAGCGTGTCCTTGAGAACTAGAAATGTAAAATCATGGCTTAAGTTGTGTACCTTAGAGGCCTCTCAGTGTTAGTGAGGTGTTCCTAGGAGTTCATTGAATAAATAATTTAGGGGTAAACCTTTGATGTACTTGATTTTCTCTTGTGCCTTAGTTTCTCCAAATAGCAGAAGCATCACATTTTGGTGGGAAATAAAAGTGGAAGTATCGGAGGGAAAGTTTGAAAATGTCCTTCCTAAAGATAGAGGCTATGCATGGAGTGGTCTTAAGACTCACCCTCATTGTTAATTCAGAATTATCCTGCATCAAATCTTTAGACTTCCCTAGATAGAAGAATTATAATAGGGCTTTTTTGCATCGAGAGTACCAAAAAAAATGGTTTCTAGATGTTTATTATGTTGTTTGTTGCACTATCTATATTGTGGTGGTTAAGACAGAATTCAAGAAAATCTGGTACTCTTGAAGGCTATACAGTATGAGTCTTTAAATAAGATTTCATTGATTCATGGGGTACCTGCCTGGCTCAGTCATTAGAACATGCAACTCTTGATCTTAGGATTGTGAGTTTGAGCCCCACATTGGGGGTAGAGTTTACTTTAAAAAAAAAAAAGTGTGTATTGATTTATTCATCAGACATTAAGTGCCTGTGTGCCCAGTACTGGGGAGCACTGGGGATACAGGGGTGACTAAATCAGATTGGAAGGCTGCCCTCATGAAGTTCTGTCTAGTAAAGAGACATGAAACAAATTTTAGCCTTAAGAAGAGCAAGATCTGTTTTTGCCTGTTAGCATGGTTTTATTTTCCAAAGTCATATTAGAATGATCTGGTTCAAATTCAGAGGAGATTGGGAAAATTGGGCTCAAAATGGAATAAGATGCTGTGAGCCTCAAACTGCTCTAAAAAGTCATTACTTTTTAATAGAATCAGAAACCAACAAAAAATGTTCCAACATTTGATAGAAATACTTGAAGAGATCAGTATAAATGATTTGGAAATAATTTATGCTGCCGGGGGACAAGGGGAAATGGGCAGGATAGAAGTGCAAGTAAATGGGAGATGATCGCAAGTACACACCAGTGACAGCTTTTCCTCCCATCAGGATACCCTTCCACGCAGGATAGAAATGTGGAGTGTGCTGCGGCATCCTCCCCACTCCCTCTTTGAGCACGGCTGCTCTGGAATACAGACCATCTGGGCCAACGGGACTTAGCAGAGGATCCTGCAGGATTTGCTGTTTTAAAAGAAGCTGAGTGCAGGATGTGGAAATGGGAATCTAGAGCAGAAAACGTAGCAAGCGATGGCACCGGATGGTGGGCAGGATTATTGACAAGAAGATTACCCAGGGCTCTACCAAATCTTTGACAGGACAGGTCCATCAAAAGGACATTCTTCGACCCATTATTTAAAATGTCACCATGTATGTTGTAATCCTGAGGCATACAGGTAGAATTTCTGGACCTGACTACTAGTGACTTCTGAGGCTTAAAATTAGAAAACTCAAAAGTTTATCAGATATGTATTGGTAACTGGTAATCTAGACCCTCTCGGGGCTGTAAAAGGTGAGAGGGATTTAGCTGGTAAGTTTCAGGGCGCAATTTTGAGGAATGAAATCTACAGAGAAAATGGTTCAAGGGTGTAGGAGTTAGAGAATGTTTCTTTTATCTAAAAAAGTTAGGCAGATGACAGAAGACCTGGGGTGGTGGGGGCGTAGAACACAAAATTAGATTTTTACAGAACTGTATTTCTTTAAATACGTAAATAAGAACGTTCTCGTTAGCCAACTTGGGGAAGGGGCATGTTGGATATTTTTCCCTGGGAAAATCCATGTCTGATGGGAAAAGATTTTGTTTACCAGGAGCTTGCTTTACACACAACCTTGAATGAATGCATTTGTGGCTTAAAGGGAGGAGACCTCTCTCAATCTCCTACCAGAGGCAGTCAGATCAGCCAGTTGGTTTCCAGATTTTCCAGATTCCTTCAGCCTGAGATTACCTGATGCTGACCAGACTTCTTTTTCTTTCCCTGAAGGCCCCACAGCTTTCTGAGTGTATGCCTCCTATCTTGAGACCTTTCTCTCTGAATTATTATATTCCATTCTCTATTCTCACGATCATCCTTTTGAAATAGTGATGCACTCAGAGCAGTTGAACATACCGATTATATTGCTTTCTTCACTGTGCACCTGCAATGAAAATTGATTTGCTCGTTTTTATTCAGAATCTCGTCTTCATGGCAAGTTGGGCTAATGGCCTTCACTCTCGAGTAAGGTTTGTTTACCAGTTTTGTAGCCATATTTGGCAAATCTTAGCAAATAGAAACCCTTCTTTTCCCCTTTGTTCTTGCAATTGCTCATGTATTGCTTTTCTGACTTTTCTTTGAGCTTTGAGACTACTGCATCTTTAAAAAAACTAGGCGGATTGGCAAAACAGGCTTGCCAATAGCTTAGTCACTCCCATAGTGCTTTGGTTTTGAGAGTTGGGAAAACTCTGAGAACTTAAGAGAACCAAACTCAGGAATCCCACAGTTGGCTGCACTGTGCCCTTGGTTTAGGGGCTGGACATAGGACCTGTCTGCAGCTGAGTGAACTAGATGCATTTGGGTTTGAGTTTTTTGTCACATACTGAAATGTTAAGTCAGCCCTAAATAATCGAAACACTTTATTTTTCTTTTTTTAATAGGAACTTTCTGAAGAAAAAGTGATGTGTAAAACATTTGATATTTAAGACAATAAAGTTTTTATCATAAGACTCTTGTTTGATCAGTTTCTTTTGAGATGGTTACTTTAGTCTTTGTCTGTCTTCCTGCCCCTTTAAATAACCCCTACCCAGGTACTGTGATTTGCAACCATCTGCCTGGACCTCACAAGAAATGGGTATCTCCAAGCCATTAAAGGGACTTCCAGATGACCACTGCAGGGGCACAGCCGCCTGCTCGTGTCAGAGACATGCATCTGTGACCCCGTGGGCAGCCAATGCACAGTGACAGACATTGTGATAGGGTGTTGCGGTTAGACCAGCCTCTGGAGCCAGGCCACTTTGCCACTTGCTGGCTATGTGACTTTGGGTAAGTTTCCTAACCTTTCTGTGCCTCCGTCTCATCTACAAAATGGGGACCATCTGGATGGTTGTAGGGATTAAACAAGTTAATACATGTAAAATGCTTAGCATAGCACCTGGCACATACTAAGTGCTCTTAGATATTAGCTAATACTCATTGTGTCATGGGAAGGATTTGAGGATGCTGAATGCAGTTTCCAGAAGTTAGGCAATCCCAACCTTCGGATCTGGCTCTGCCCCATGCAGTCAGTCATTCAGGGTCCTAGGCTGCCAGGGCTCTGCTTTCTTCCGCATGTGGCTTCCAATGACATACCAGGAGAAGAGAATGAGGGCTGTTCGTAGAAGTTTTTCTACCAGGCCTGGAAGTGGTGTATACATGTCACTTCCCTACCCACGTTTCCCTGACTGGAACTCAGTCACACAGCCAGACCAAAGTGCAAGGGAGGCTGGGAAACCTAATCTACTCATGTGCCCAGGGTGAGTGGTACAGTGAGGTATCGGCAGTGCTTCAACGCCCCCCCCCCACAAGATGGCTCCATATCCCATTCAGGCACTCAGCCAACCTCAGTCCAGAATCTCCTGTGATGCCCTGTCCTTCAGGTCTTGATTGTGCCTCTTTATGGTCTAGCAAATCGAACTCAAGGTCAAGTTCTGTGCTCCCACCGCACCCCCCGTGTTGACCCAGGGACAGAATAACCGCGATGGCAAATCCCATTCAGAAAAGAGAATAAGAAATGCAGCCATCGTGAGGTGGTTGGGGAAGTTCCTCTACTTAAAAATCTAATTACCTCTTGTGGAGGGAACTCCCTTGTCCATTGTCCATGGCCCCACCTGAAGCAGGTGTTCCGTCTGCCTTCCTTGGGAGTTAGGCGCCTCTGTTAGCTTACGCTGGCACAGGTCTGGGGACTAGGGGTTGTGTAAAGGCTTGGAAAAGAGTCCATGGCGGGCGCCTGGGTGGCTCAGTTGGTTAAGCGACTGCCTTCGGCTCAGGTCATGATCCTGGAGTCCCGGGATCGAGTCCCGCATCGGGCTCCCTGCTCGGCGGGGAGTCTGCTTCTCCCTCCGACCCTCTTCCCTCTCGTGCTTTCTATCTCTCATTCTCTCTCTCTCTCAAATAAATAAATAAAATCTTAAAAAAAAAAAAAAAAGGAAAAGAGTCCATGGCTTTTGAACTCTGGATTTGTAGATTTTTGGCAAAACAATTTACTCAGTAACACTTAAGGGGCTTCTGATTATTTGCTCCAGTCAATCCTGCATTGCCAGTAACCACACTCAAGGGTTCTTTCATGTACACAATCCTCAAGCATGATTCATTTCTTTGCTTTCTCACTTCCAGTCTGCCCTCGGGCATCTAGAGTTTATCTGAAATAGGTTTGAATGGGAAAAACTTAATATGATTTTTACTACAGGGCTGAGTCTTACTAGGCCTTGGTATTCAAAGGCTATTTCAAACTTAGCTCTTACTATCTGAAGTCCAGAACAAGGAAATTCACTCGAACAACCCTGAATTCAAGGCTCCAAGTTTCTTGGCCCCATTCCTTTTCAATTCTGCTTGCAACAAGCCAATTCTTTCCTAAACTTGTGTCTTTCTCATAATGTCAAAGTCAACACACTAACCTGACTTTTCAACCTTTCCTTGTGGACCTGAGCTTCAGGCTATGTAGTTAACGTAGCGGACCATCCGAGGTGCCACAGGGAGTTCTACCAGATGTTTCACCCTCTGGATAAGAAGCACCTCCATTTTTCCAGCCTCCGTACATCAGTTTTCTTCTTGACCACCAAGACAAGGTCTCTTTTAGGTTTTTATGGTGAATAAAATTAGTGGGGCACCTGGGTGGCTCAGTTGGTTAAGCAACTGCCTTCGGCTCAGGTCATGATCCTGGAGTCCCGGGATCGAGTCCCGCATTGGGCTCCCTGCTGAGCAGGGAGTCTGCTTCTCCCTCTGACCCTCTTCCCTCTAGTTGCTCTCTGTCTCTCATTCTCTCTCTCTCAAATAAATAAATAAAATCTTTAAAAAAAATAAATAAAAAATAAAATAAAATTAGTACCAATTTCTGTATTAAGATAAGCTAACTGCTGTAAGATACCCAACCCAACTATCAGTAGCTTAACATAACAGAACCTTATCTCTCCTTCACTAACAGCCCACTGTGTGGGCCCAAGTCAGTGGAGATAGGAGGACTCTTCACACTGTCATTTGGGAAACAGGCTTGGAGCAGCTCTGCCATTTCACCTGGCTTCCAAGCTTGCCCTGGCTTCAACATCACACTGGAAAATAATGGAAGAGAGAATCGAGCTCAAGTGGGTTTTATAGGCCAGACCTGGAAACGGTACCTATCATTTCCCACACAAAACCAATGAAAACCTCAGGAACTGGCCACACCTAGCTGAAGGAGAGGCAGAGAAATGTAGGCTAGCTCTGTGCCCAGTAAGAAGAGATCAACTAACCCAGTTTTCATCTCAAAGGAATATCCATTTTCTAATGTCTGGTGGAGACAGAGCCTTGTCTTGACTCCCAGTTATATATTCACAAATTGAGACCCCTCATTCTGAACTACTGAGAGTCAATTTCTTGTGGAGGGTATCAGGACAATCTCTTTTCTGTCCTAAAGCTTGGAAATGCTGTGTGTTAACTTTTTTTTTTTTTTTTTTTTAATTTAAGTGACTTAGAGCGCCTGGATGGCTCAGTCTGTTAAGTGTCCGACTCTTGATTTCGGCTCAAGTCATGATCTCATGGGTCATGGGATCGAGCCCCATGTTGGGCTCAATGCTCAGCAGGGAGTCGGCTTCTCTCCCTCTTCCTCTGCCCCTCTGTGCATGCTCACTCTCTCTGTCTCTGTCTGTCTCTCTAAAATAAATCTTAATCTTAAGACTTAAAATGAACCATTTTGAGATTAATGAGTAACTTAGAAACACCTTAGGGTGTTGACCAATGTGGAGTCATTGCTTTCTGTATGGTTTGTATTGTGGGGCCTTTACTTGAGAAGATTTCAATGTACCTGGAAAAGCTGGTATATATGGGGAGGAGCTTAGACATATCCCCCCTTGTTCTGTTAGGGTTCCTTGCCTATCTAAGAAGAATGATGAGAGCAGAGGTGCCTGGGTGGCTCAGTCAGTTAAGACTCTTGGTTTCAGCTCAGGTCATGATCTCCAGGTCATGGGATCAAGCCCTGCATTGGGCTCCATGCTCAGCATGGAGTCGCTTCTCTCCCTCTCCCTCTGCCCCTCCCTCTCATCGAGCCCTCTCTTTCTCTCTCTCTCTAAAAAAATAAATAAATAAAATATTCCAAAAAAAAAGAATAATGAGAGCAAAGGCTACTTCTAGTTGGAAGTAAGAATTATATTGCCATTTTTCAGATCTCAATCCTTTGATAATCATTTCATTTGAAATGAAATTTCTAGTACTTGATAGAGTGATAGAAATTGTGAGACATTAGTTATTAGTGGAAAGAATTATGGGTCCTTGGCACAAAGAAAGGGGAATTTACTGCATCTTTATTAAAAACAAAACTTTGAAAGTATCAGGGAAGTGGGGTGCCTGGCTGGCTCAGTTGGAAGAGCCTGTGATTCTCAATCTTGGGGTTGAGGGTTCAAGCCCCATGTTGGGTGTAGAGATTATTAAATAAATAAAAGTATCAGGGAAGTAAATGCATTGGGGGTTTATGACATGAATCTATCTATAGCTTGGAGGAGGAAAATGTAAGAAAAGGGTAGGATATTCGTTTAAAAGTAGAAATACAAAGAAATAGAAAAAAAGTTCAAAAAAGAACATAGTTCTAAATTTCAAAATATGTGGTAAGCAGAGCTTATTGCCATCTTTTTTTTAATTAAAGATTTTATTTATTTATCTAACAGAGAGAGAGAGAGGCAGCGAGAAAGGGAACACAAGCAGGGGGAGTGGGAGAGGGAGAAGCAGGCTTCCCGCCGAGCAGGGAGCCCGATGCGGGGCTCGATCCCAGGGCCCTGGAATCATGACCTGAGCCGAAGTCAGTCACTTAACCAACTGAGCCACCCAGGTGCCCCAGCTTATTGCTGTCTTACATAAAAGGGCTAAATTGTCACCGGATACTGCTTCCTTGTTCAGACCTATTAGTGTACTAATGGGATTAACCAGCCATACCAATCTTTATGTATGGATTTTGTCCTAAAAAAAAAAAGATTAGAGCTAGAGTGGTTTGGTTCCTCCTAGAAAATTCGACTGTTCGACTCCAGGTATCTGAAATTGCAGGGCCTGAACTAGAACTATACCCCTTGCACCCCCCACCCCCAAACCTGCTCCTCTCCGTCCTCCCTGAGAAATCAAGAGCAACTGGCAGCAGCATCCTTCCAGCTGCTCGCTCTAAGACCTTGACTCATCCTTCACAACCTACATCCCATTCATCCTAAAGCCTATTGGCTGCACTTCAAAATAGATTCAAAATCCCACTATAACCTCAGTCCGTTAAGCCTCCAACTCTTGATTACTGCTGGGATCTTGGGGTTGCAGGATCAAGCCCTGTGTTGGGCTCCGCGCTTTGTGTGGAGTCTGCTTGTCTCTCTCCCTCTGCTCCTCCCCCTGCTCGTGCTCTCTCTCTCTCCCTCAAATAAATGAATAAAATTCAATTTTTAAAAATTCAATCATTTCTAGACCCCTGGTCCCAGGCCCCATCATCTCTCCCCTGGGTCTCTCTGCTCCTGCCCCTGCCTACCTC